TAGGAGACAGCCCAGCCGCCCAGCAGCAGCAGAACACGGGACACACAGCATGGATTTCTGCTAACGAACGCAGGCTTTACCGAGGGCACGTGATCGCCCTAGAACTCCGAGCATCCGTGGGACGGTGTAAAGAAACAAACAGCAACAAAACCGTCACCCTGAGCAGAAAAGGCATCACAGAAGAGTGCATGGATTATGATACTTACGTAAAATTTGGAAAAGCCTCAATCACACGGCGCATTGTTTGGAGACGATACGTACATGGTAAAAGTCTTCCAGAACCCACCGAAGCGGCGACTTGCACATGTTCGGGAGAGTGAGTACCCCCAGGGGGTAGTCAGGCGTCGGGGCTCCCAGGGGCAGGGGGGCCCGGGACGTCCGCGTTCTCGGGCCCAGCGGCAGTGTTCGGGGCCCTACGGTGCTGGCGTTCTCTACAGCGGCATAAACACACACGTGCTTTCGTGCGTGCGGCGGTTTCCGGCGTTTCTTTTCAAGGAAGGAGTGAATCGCAGCTGGGGCGCAGGCGGCTCCGGGAGCCGAAAACGGGCAGTGGGAGGGGAGCAGGCCGGCGGGGAGACGGTCCGAGGGGGCCTTCCCAAGAGGCATGCGCGGCCGCAGGTGCGCTCGCTCTCGGGGAGGACTCACCGCGGGAGCCGACCCCGGCAGCCCCTCTGGATCCCCGCTTTGGGGTCTCCGTTTGGGGAGACCTGCACCGTCTCTAGTAGTGAGGCCGACCCAGCGACCGGCAGCTCGGCCCTTCAGGAGCTCACGGGACACAGAGCCCTTCTGTCTGTGTAAACCAGTACTTCTGGGGAAAGCAGCACGATCCCCGTGTTAGGGACTCCCGTGCCTCACGGAAGCCAGACACTTGGGAGCTCCAGCGATTTCCCTGTTAGGAGCATTTTTGTCTCGGAAAATCTCTAAAATGTGAATATGCCTGATGACATTTTTGATTACAGCGGAGGAGGAAGTAATTCCTGGTGGGAAGAGAAGAGCCTTCCTCCCCCGTGGCCGGCTTCCTGTGGCGAACCCGGGCTGGCAGGAGCGGGTGTCGCTCACGAGGGCAGGTGCGGTGTGGGGGCTTCCCTGGCTTGGGATGGGGCCTGGATGCGCCCTCCCCCGACAGAAACGAGAGGAGTCACTTCCCAGCTGTTCGGCGGCAGGACAAAATGTGAAATTTAAACCATTCGATAGTTCTGGAAGCAAAAGAACAGGTGGTAGATGGCTTCCGAGACAGATGGTACTTTTTAGTAGTTGTGTTCGACCGCCAGCTGTTCTACGAGCGGCCCTAACGATCACTCATCTTTTACCTTTTCACTTGAATGCTTGCAAAGTGTGGGCCAAGTTTTAAAACGAACTACCATCAGTCTTAAAAAAATTAGAATCCCTTCCTTTATTTCGTCAGCTCCGAGCAGCGCCAGAGCAGCGCCAGAGCCCTGCGGCATGGTGACCCCCAGGGGGCGGGGGACGGAGGTGGCAGGAGGCCGGCAGGTACGAGCCCCGGTGGCCCGCAGAGATGTCCTCCACTGTGCACCGCAGGCTCCCCCCAAAAGCTCCCGTCTCCTTAGAAACTAGGAAGGAACTACGATTCAAGATCCGTCTTTCTCCGAACGCTTCCTTCTTCCACTTGAGCTCTGACATTTAAGGGAGTGGCTACATCAGCGTGCGAGCCCGCAGACAGGAGGACAGGAAGACAGGAGGACAGGAGGACAGAGCGGAAAGGAGGACAGGCGGAAATGACTCTCCTGGAGCTCCAGCCGCGGGCACAGGCCCTCAGGTGGTGGCCCATGTGCCAGCACAGGGCAGGGACGCGGCATCTCCAGGCCCTGCCCCCACTCTGCCTTCCCTCCCATCTACGTCACCCCTGACTCAGAAGCAGGAGTGTGACAAACACCGGCAGAGGCAGAGATGGTGTGAATGACAGAACCGGTCGTGCAGGACGGAGATGGGCCCTCGGGGAAACGCCGAAGGAAGCAGAGGGAAGGAGCACGGCCTGGGCCCGGTGCAGGCTGGGGGAGGACAGGCAGACACAGCCCCACCACACGGGACCTACAAGCCAGGGAAAGGGACGGACAGAGGCCTGTGGCCTGCAAGGTCCCAGGGAAGAGGACAGCAAGGACCAGCTTCACGTGTGCCTGTAGCGCCCTGGAGGGAAGAGCCCAATTCACGACAGGCGCAGACCAGCTCGTGGGGCTCTTCAAATACAGGGTCCTATTCAAAATGTTAAATCAGGCTGAAGGCATATAATTAAGTGCGACTCTCCCAGCTGATCTCCTTTCCCGCAATATGCCTACCTCCTTCTGGGTCCTTCTGCTGCTGGATCACTGACGCTCCCCGGTGAGCTGATCCACGCACCAGCACAGGTTTCCACACCTCGCTAAGGGGAGTTCTAGAATCTAAACCGGAGCTTCTCGACAGAAGCACTACTAACATCTTGAGCCACATGATTCCTCATCGTGGGGGCCGTCCGGGGCGTTGTGGGGTGTGTGGCTGTCTCCCCAGCCTCTGCCCACCGGGTTCCAGTAGAACCCCCCAACTTATGACAACCAAAAAAATGCCTTCAGCCGTCACCAGCCATCTGCCCCGGGCAAGAAGCAGAGAGTTGCTCCCCACAAGGTCTCGAAGCTTCGCGGGCTCTCAGGACCAAGCAGGGGCATAAATAAATGAGTCTAGTCTTTCACCGAATTTGTGAATTCTCTGAATAAAAACAAGATTATTCACCCGTAGATAAATTAAAATTCACATGCTTTTGTAAAATCATTTTCAATATGGAGCACATTTCACAGACAGGTGCGTTTTTCTTGGTCTGTGAAATCGGCTTCACGGGGACACGGTTCTGTCTCAGCGCTGCCCAGCCCTCCTCCCCATCCGGCCCCCATCAGGTGCCTGTTTTGCAGGGTGGCAGGAATTCCCCAGCATCAAAAACACTCATTGCCCTCGAAACTCCTTGACCTCAATGAGTCTCGTTCTATGGAGCCACTGACCGCGGTTCACACGAGCTCTGAGGGACAGACCGTCGGCTCAGGCTCCTCCGAGCCACGGTTCTCAGAAAGTTCTCAAGGAAATCCTGGAAATGGCTCATCACAGGCATGGCCAGTCTCACCCAGATGTGTTCTGCCGATGTCCAGCGGACACTGCCGGGGCGGACTGCAAGGTGTCCAGATCTCCCAAAGGACCCACTTAGCAGGGACACTCCGGGTCGGACCACAGACACTGCTGGTGTCAGACGTGGGCACAGAGCTCGGACGGAGGCTGCCCTGAGGCTGGGGTCGTGTGTCTGGACCAGGCACTGCCTCCTCCTTTACTTCAATTGCCACCGGGTCCCTCTGCTACAGTGCTCAGTTTTCGAATCAACACATTAGGGGCCATTCTAGAAGCTGCCCCTGGAGTACCCCCTTTCCTTCTTCCTGAGGGGCACATTACAGTGGTTACCTACAAGACCAATCACGTTGACACCCTCATCCTCTAACTGAACGCACATTACAGCAAATTTGATTATAGCACCTTATAAAATGCAAACACAGAGAGACACCTAATTATTATGTCACTTTATAAATCATACGAGGCATGGAAAGTGAAGCCACCCCTGGGGTACATGGGTTTGGGTTCCCTCTAAGATTAATTTTCTCGGAAAACAGTAAGTCATCCTTAATAAATGCCAATGGACTGATGGATTTTAACGGAAATCTTGACGCAGCTGTAAATTATGTTGCACACGAGAGATTATTCATGTGTTTTATTCATTTCCCCATCACACCCTAAATGCATGTTCACTAATAGCTTGAAATAGAAGTAAGATTTTGTTCTTGAGAATACAATGTTCTACTGGCTGACTCATTTATCAAGCCAATAGAGAAATACGGATGCCCAAGACCGCATCTGATTTTCCAGAACAATGTCAGCAAACCAAAACAGGAAAAGAACAAAACTGCGTTATTCCTCTTTCTCCCATGAACTTGGATATGTGCGCACGTGTCTCACAATCTGGTGATGTTTCCTGTTACTGATAACCTAGTGATTGAGGACATCATGGTAACATTAGAATTCTAGCACCTGATTAATGCTAGAACCCATGGAACTTCCATTCAGGTCTCCTGCGTCACAAGCAAACCTAACACCCAAGCAGCAGTTCCAGCTCTCCGGGTCTGAGCACTACTGAAGGCTCATTCCAAGTCCACGTTGCTTTTGCTACACTTCAGGGAAGGACCTAAGCTCACGTTCACGGGAGGCTTGGACACATGGTGTGCGGTCACCATTAACAGACACACACCTACATCTGTGAACACACACGCACAACAGAGTTGCAACCAGTGCATGACTGAGGGCCCTTCCTCTCTCTGCTGAGCCCCCAAACACGCATCATGGCACCACTCGGGCTCCAAAGTGTCTGCCAGCCCCATGTCTGTTCTAGAGGCCTCCCAGAAGAGCACACGCGTGCATTAAGGAAGCCAAGGACCTCTGTGGCCACCCACGCCCCTCACAGTCAGCCATGCGTCTGGGGCTTCCCGAGGTCCCTGCCTCGTGTTTAGAACGAGCCAGCCTGCAAGCCCGGGGGTGGGGTGTGACTTAGTGAGTCCCAGCATTGCACTTTTTTGTGTTTTACTAACTTAGATGATCAGCCCTTTCCTGGCGTGCTGCCTTTGCTTCCTTCTGAGCTCCACGTAGGGAAACCACATACCTCTGGGTATCTTGACTCTCTCACTGACTACATTACTCCCCCTAAAAACTTAGCAAAGGGAAGCCTCGCTTCTCTGAATAGAAACTTCAAACTTGGTCTCACGGCAGGAAACACCCAGTCCGAGTTAGCAAGACCATCTTCAGTGGGGTTGAGGACATGAAGAGGGGCAGAACCTGGGTGACGCCACAGCATGTCCCTCCCAGGGAGCCCCTCGGCACGTGATCCAGGCACAAAGCCAGAGCCAGGTTGGCTCCTGCCTTGTTCCCCACACGGTGAGCTCTGAACCAGCTCCAGGCTTTGAGAGCCCATGCTCTGTGCTTACCGGAGAAGGGGGCGGTCCTCAGGGGTATCCTGATGGGTGCCAGGGTCAGGAAGTGGCAGGGCTGCACGCTGGAGGGGGATGGGCCCCCAAGTGCCTCTGGGTCCACGGACACCATGGCAGCCGTGGCGGTGATGGCAATGCCGGGGGTACTGCCGACAGGCTTCAGGCTGTTGTGACGACCACCTGCAGAAGAGGGACAGGGAGGTCATCACGGGAATGCCGGTGTCCACCGGGGAGGGGCCATTGCACGATGCAGCATATCCTCACCAGAAAACAAGGCAGCACTAACCCGTTTCTTGGAAACCCACGCCGTGTGCCGATATCCCAGAAACCCAGGCTGAGTTCTCAAGGCAGCACTAACCCGTTTCTTGGAAGCCCACGCCGTGTGCCGATATCCCAGAAACACAGGCTGAGTTCTCAATCTGTCCAAACGCTGATTGTGCAGAGCACATGCACACCGCTATGTGACGTCCGGTGAGTCACAAGGCTTAGTTAGCGGGGGACACACGTGCCTGGGCCCCTGGCTACGGGGGGCACGAGGTATCTGTGTAACCAGGGGTGGTGGTGACAAGCACGCCGTTCCTCGGAGCAGCGAGGGAGGGGGAGGGCAAGACAGGAGCACAGAAAGGTGGGAGGTGGGCTCAGAGGAGAAGGCAGCCTGGGTCGGGGTGGAGAGGAGGCTCAGCTGATCCCTGAGGATGAGGCTGCCACCTGCCCGGTCCCTGCAGGGAGAACCTCGACCTCACATCAGCCTGGGCAGCCCCTTGTGAGGAGCTGGGCCCTAAGCCTACAATTCGGCTGGTCTTTCCTGGCAGAACTGGAAACACTTGAAACTTTGCTTCTGTCTCTGCCTTTTCTGTAAAGCTGTTATTTAAAAGGACTCTTTGGTCCCTAAATAATTGCAGATTCTAAGAAATAGTCTGTAACTACCTGCTCACACGGATGGTGCAAGCTCTGGAAAGCAATCTGGAAATGTGTCTTAAAAATGTTAATAGAGTTTACAACTTTAATCTAGTGTTTCCCTTCCTAGAATTCGCCCACGTGCCCAATGCCTTCAGATACAGGTTTGTGGCGGGAGACTGGAAAAAGCAGCAAAGGGCAGATGCTTGTACTAACGGTGGTGCGTCCAGCCAGCGAGACGCTGAGCAGCTGGTAGAACCCCACAAGGAAGAACACCCAGTGCCACAGGGGGCAGCTCGCGGTGTGTTCAGAAAACAAAGCAACTGACAAAATCATTCCATTTCTACACCACATAGCCATTCAGTCAACAATGCTTTATTGGGTTGACTAGGTGTCCACCATGTTCCGGCTGAGGGACAGAGCAGTGACCCGAGCAGAGGGAAGGCCTTCCTCCCGGGACCACACCTCCCAAGGGGGGAAGACACATGCCATATACTTCCCTCATTTATTTGCTTGGTGTTATAGGTTGATGGGCACAACGCAGAAAAGTAAAGCAAGGAAGAAAAAGGACTGGGAATTGGTAGGCGGGCTCCATCTTTGCATGGGGTTGTCAGGAAGGTCTTCCCTGGGAAGAAAAGTCACAGTTGACAGCCTGCAGGAGGCGAGAGTGGAAGAGCTGGCCGAGGAGGGGTGGGGAAGTGCAAAGGGTCTGAGGCAGGCGCCAGTCCAGTGTGTTCCAGAAGCTGCAAAGAGATCAGGGAGGTGGAGTGGAGGGGCAGGGATGAGGAAGTGTGCGTGTGGGGAAAGGGGGACGACTGTGCCTTGCAGGCACAAAGGGGCATGCAGCTGCCAGGAGGGGTGGGGTGCAGGGGCGGGGAAGCTCTGCCGTCATCTCAAGTAGCACCCTGCCTGCTTTGCTGGCTACAGACAGGAAGGGGGCCAGCTGGGTCCTGGCTACACTCAGCCAGATCCTATCAGTCTGTCTTTGCTTGTCTTTCCACAGTATTCAAATCCCCTTTGATGGGCATATACAAATGTTAAAAATGGAACTTAATTTTTACAGAGTCAGTTCAAGTGTACAGAAAAGTGGAGCAGAAAGTACAGAGAGTCGGCAAGTACTCTGCCACACCCCTACCCTCCCACCCCACCCCCACCATGCTCACAGCCCCGTATCAGTGCGAGCGGAGTACCTGTTAGGACTGATGACCCAAAACTGATACATTGTTGCTGACCAAAGCCCGGGCAGACAGCATGCTTGTGGCTGTTGTGCGTTTCTGATCTTTGCCAAAGCCAGACTGCCATGCTGTCCCATCATAGAGCAGAACACAGAATACAGAAGAGCATCACTGTCCTAAAATCCTGTGTCCTGCCTGTTCATCCCCCGCCCCCACAGCCGCACCCCCACAACCACAGACCTTTTTATTGTCTCTACAGTTTGCCCTTTTCCAGGATGTCGTATAATTGGAATCAGACATTATGTAGACTTTCCAGACTGGCTTCTTCCACTTAGCAATGTATGACTGAAGTCTCTGTCTTTTCTTGGCAAGATAAGTCCTTTCCTTTTATCACCTCCGTCATCTGGAGGGGCCACCGTTCACTTATGCACTCAGCTACTGCAGAACATCCTACTTGCTTCCAAGTTTTTGCAATTATGAATAAAACAGCTATAAACATGTGCGCGCATGTTTTCGTTTGGACGCAAGTTCTCTATTTGGGTAAATACCAAGGAATGTGCCTGCTGGATCATATGGTGAGACAATGTTTAGCTTTGTAAGAAAGCGCCAGACTGTCTCTCCAAGTGGCTGTACCATGTTGTATCCCCAGCAACCGGGAATGAGTGCTCCTGCCACTCCTCGTCCTTGCCAGCATTTGGGGTCAGGGTTTGGAGTCTGACCGCTCTGACAGGTGTGTAGGAGCCCGTCCTTGTTGTCACATACACATTTGTGGTCAGAAAAAAAGCCCTACTGTTCTAAATATATTATCTTACTCGATAATAAAAACCTATTATAGAAAACTCATAGAATGGAGTGACTCAGTGTGTACAAATGTCGCTGTGGACCCCCCAGGCAAACACGGCTCATCTTTTGTCATGCAGCAAACCTCAGTTTCCTGGGGGCACGGTGTGGCTGCACTGGTGTCCCCATCAGACTGCAGGAACAGCTCTTTTTTGGAGATGTTATGAAATAAGCACTTCCCTGATCATTAAATGGCTTACACAGTCCAATTATTAACCGGAGCCCAGCATTCCAGGCAATTCAGCTGCCACACAAATTTGCCACATTCACTATGATCCCCCGTCGTAACAGGAGCTGCCTCCTATTATAAGTAAACATGATGTAAACAATGGTTTGCAAAAACATTCGTTTCTGCATTTGTTGCTCTGGGACAGACATTCAGGGTCAAAGCAGTATTTTTGGGTGTGCCTGTGTCAGTTTAATGAGGTAATTTTGTGAAAGCCAACACACCATTAGAGCCCTCTACAATTTCTTATTAAGCCCGGCTTCTCTCCCTCAGGATCCACACATTCATATGATCTCTCCGAGGGCGTGTTCACTGGGGTGCAGCCATCAGACTGTGCTGTTTAGAGACAGACCCACTGGGGAGACACACCACCAAGTTCCATGACCTCAGTGACATGCTGTCTGTTGGATTTGTCTAATAGCCCCGACCTACTGTTCAAACTGAGGATGACCTTTTAGAAACGAATGACAAAGTCATTACTGGAGTTTTAAAAGAAACAGAAGCCAAGGCAAGCATGTTTCATAGATGGACGTATAGGGACACGTTTATTATCATGCGATTTTGTTGTCAAAAATAATATGTCACTTGCTGATTTCAACTCTACTATGAAGCTATAATCACAACACAGTGTGGCACTGGCACCGAAACAGACAAATCGGGCCACAGAACAGAATCAAGAGCCCAGAAATAAATGCAACCATATTTGTCCAAGTAATGCTTCACAAGGGAGCTAAGACCACTCATGGAGAAAAGACAGTCTTAAGTGGCACTGGGATAACTGGAAGAATGAAACCAGACCCTCATCTAACACCACTCACAGAAATTAACTCAAAATGGATTAAAGACTGAAACATAAGACCTGAAACCATGATGCTAGGAGAAGACCTGGGAACAAAGTTTCCTGACATGGGTGGTAGTGATGACTTTTTTTGAAATTATACCTACAGCATAAGCAACGAGAACAAAACTGATAAATGGGACCACATCCAACCAAAGAGCTTCTGCACAATGAAGGAAACCATCAACAAGCTGAAAAGGAAACCCACAGAATGGGAGAAATGGACATTTGCACACCACAGATCCCATAAAGGGTTAATATCCAAAATACGTAAAGAACGCCCACAGCTCAAGAGCAAAAAACACAAATAATCCAATCTAAAAATGGGCAAGGAACCTCAGTAGAAGTTTCTCCACAGAAGATGTGGGAAAGACCAACCGGCGGGTAAACCGGTGGTCCTCTCAACTCCTCATCAGGGAAATGCAAATCAAAACCAAGATGAGGGGTCGCCCCACACCTGTGAGAAGGGCCGTCTCCCCAAGATGAGACGACAGATGCTGGAGAGGATGTGCAGGGAACGGAGCCCTCGTGGGCGGCTAAGATGGGTGCAGCCATGGTGCGCAGCTCGGAAGACCCACCAAAACATTAACTACAGGCCGAGCACGTGGCCCAGCAATTCCGCTCCTGGGAATATATCCGCAGGGAATGAAAGCACTAACTCAAGAGTCTACACTCACAGGCACACAGCCCGAGTCACAACAGCCAGGTCGTGGAGAGCACTGTGCCCCTCGATGGATGAACGGATGAAGAAGGTATGTGTGAACATAAGGACGGCTCTCAGTTCTGGAGCTCGGGAAGTCGTTCCATCTCTGACAATGCGGGCGGGCTCCGAAGGCATTATTCTAAGTGAGGTAGGTCAGACAGAGAAAGACAAACGCCACGTGATTTTGCCAATATGTGGAATCTTAAAAGAAAAAAAAATACAATAAAAACAAAACCCCCAACTCATAGAAAGAGATCAGCCCTGTGGCTCCCAGAGGCAGAGGGGCTGTGAGGAGGGAGAGGTGGGGGTAGGGGAGGCGTCAAGGGGAACACATCCAGGTGTAAAGACGGTGCTGAGAACGTCACTGACAGCAGGACACCTGTGGCGGACGCTGCCCAGGGATGCAGAGGAACGTGGTTAAAAGAAAAAATCCTGAGTGCTCTCATCACACCAAGAAAAACATTTTTTCCTTCTTTCTTTACTCCATATCATCTCTATACG